GCGGCGCGGAGGCGTTGGGGGAACGGCCCCACGCCCCATTGTGCAGCCGGGAGGCGCCGGCCGGCGAGTGCTGGACGGGCTTCGGGCCCCGGCGCTGCCGTCCTCCCGGCCCGGCCTGGCGGCCCCGCGGCCCCGCAGAGCCGGCATCGGCCTGCCCTGTCCCGCGCGGTGCCGGGCGCCGGGAGTTGGGGCGGCTCGGCGGAGGACCGAGTTGGGCGCGGAAGTGCAGCCTGTTCCCGTTTCCAAGCCGGGGACCTGCTGCCTTTCGAGCGCCGGCTTTATGTGCCGGGGCTGGGAGGAGTAATTGCTTTATTATAGCAGTTAAGGGCCATTTGTGATTCTTAAAAAACAGTTTGTCAAGTTGCTCCCTTGGTTTTGTTTGGGGGGAGGCGGCAGAAGTCACCCATGCCTGAAGACCCTGTAGTGAGTTGGCTCCTTTGTCAACCTGGCGCTGCCGGACACTGTTTTCAGTTTGGAAGTATCCAGCCAGACCTTGGAGTTGCAGGCAGGCTGCTGTGTGTGGAAAAGGTGGTGTCGTCCCTTGCCTGGGAGCACAAGGGCCTCTTTGGGGAGGGTGTGCGCCCCGGGCCTCAGTTCAGAGCGGTCGTTTACGCTGAGTGACACTTATGTGGCCCCAACCTCCGACTGTTTTGGTGGATGGATTATGTGGTTTGGTTCCACAGGTTCAAGATTTCTCTTTTGTGGTGAGTTCATAAAACTTTAGTTTTTATTTGTAAGAAAATGTTCGTGTAAAGTACAGGTTTGTGTTAGGGTTGAGAGTACAGTGTAAGTTCAGAGATCCAGCAGGGAGTCTGCAGTTTCTCGTTTCTCTAGTATTTGAGACATTACTCCTGAAACTCCCAAGTTTGAGTTCTCTTACTGAGGTGCTTGTAGCAGGCTGAAGGAATGCAGTGCGGTTCTCTGATAAACACTCAGACCATTGCGGTGTACAGTCTACACCAGCAGCCTTCTCTTGAATCCAGAGCCTGAGGATGCTGGTCACTTGTTCAGGAATTCAGGATCAATGCAGTTTAGATCAGAGCTCACCTAAGTTGGGATTTATCAACTTCTGTCCCATTAGTTAATATTAAATTAGCTCGTTTTGAAAGTTAACTATAAGTCATTTAGTCGTACTGGTGATGACAAGATACCCTTACTTTAAACAGTTTCTGTTCATCAACTCGGGTCGTGTCACTAGGATTGTCTTCGTATATTCTTGTTAGTTTAGAAATGCAGCATGGGCCCATAACAGTCTTACAGTTAAGATATTTCATTATAAGCTTATAGTTGTTTCTCAGTACAGTTTCAGGCTGATGTTAGTTTTTTTGGTGTGTGCACCACAGCCAGTTTCTACAGCATGTATTATTGTTAGTTTTAGGACACAGTTAGATGATGGAGTATCTGAAATATTTCTATAAGGAAAAAACATTCAGTTACCTGTCTTTCACACTTACACAGCGAACAAAAATAACCCATTGCTGGGGATCAAAACTAGGCAGGGCTTTATGCACGATAGGAAAGCATATTTTTAAGTCTTTTAAGACTTGTTCAAGTTGTCTGGGTTGTTAACTTATTTATAAGAAGACAGGACTGGATTTGATGATTTGTGAAGTTCTACCTAGCTTAACAATTTTATGATTCCAGTGATTTTTATTAAATATGTTAGACATGTAGATTGTGTGTAGCCTATTAG